AAGTGAATATATTTGAAATGGTTTTAAGGGACATTATCTCATAGGTAGGTAGGTAACTATGAGTATGGCATGGTATATGCTTGTGAGTATATTCTATGACTATACAATAAGGAATATATAATAGTAATATATTTTCATTTCATCCCTTTAGACAAACCACTAAAGGTTAATAAAAGGTACAGAATACACTGAATCTATTTTCAACCTCAGACAAAGTGAACATAAACATGTAGCTGATTAAGATTAGAAAGAGGAAAAGTTAAGGACAAAATTAAAAAAGGAAATTAAAGCACTCATCTGATTGTGGAGGGTAGTGCAGAGAAATATGGAAATCTAGGAATAATAGTTTAATGTTTCTTAAAGCTTCAGGTGACATAGACAAGCATGCTGGAAGGATGGAAATAAAAAATTGTCAGTGTTATAACTGAGTTCAAGTAATTTTGTTTAAAAAAAGAAAATAATTAGCTGGGCAGTGCTGGCACATACCTTTAATCCCAGCACTTGGGAGGCAAAGGCAGATGGATCTCTGTGAGTTTGAGGCCAGCCTGGGCAGGCTCCAAAGTTACACAGAGAAACCCTTTCTCATATCTCAGAAAACCAAAACAAATGACAATAATAATAGACAAGACTATTTTAAGGATTTCACATATATCATTTTTTTTCATTGAATTCCTTTAAGAATGATGGTATATTTATTTCTCCTCAAATATTAGGAGGCTGAGCCTGTCCTAAAACTCGTATTTCACAGAGGTTTCATTTTTAAATGTCACCAATAGGCTTAAGTTATTAGTAGGCAAAGTTCAATTTGACATCCCTTTAGGAAAATGCAGTAATAAAGAACTCCTGACCCATAATAACCACAATAAAACTATTTTTTCCTCTCACATTTGATACACATTACTGGTCTTTGTATTTCAGTAAACACCCTCCCCAACCAAGAAACTGAAAATAAAATCAATCTGAGGCTTGAATGTTAAGAATATTTTGCCTGTATCTTTTTTGTACTCCTAAACAAAACGTTTGCTTTTTAATTTTTAAAAGTTTTAAGCTGTTCTAGTAATTAGCATTATTATGGATGAGGTTTTAAGATTCCTAAGGATTATTTATATTGATTGTCTTAATTATGGTTACAATTGCTATGATGAAACACCATGACCAAAGCAAGTTGGTGTGGAATGATTTTGTCTGTTTTATGATTCCACATTATGGTTCATCACTGAAGGAAGTCAGGACAGGAACTCACACAGGGCAGGAACCTAGAGGAAGGATCTGATGCAGAGGCCTTGGAATGGTTCTGCTTACTGGCTTGCTTCCACTGGCTCAATCACCTCATTTCTTATATCATCCAGGACCATCAGCTCAGGGATAGCACCATCCACAGTGGACTGGGCCTTTCCCCATCAATCACTAATTAAGATGGTTTACAGGTGGATATTGGGGAAGCATTTTCTCAATTGGTTCTTCTCTCTCTGATGACTTTAGCTTGTTGGAAGTTTCTTAGTTAAACTTGGTATTATTGATGTGAAGAGTAACCATGACCACACAACTCTTATAGAAAAAAAGGCATTTAATTGGGGGCTTGCTTAAACTTTTATTGGGTTAATGCAAATCCCCTGCAGCAGGCAGAGGAAGGTACACTGCACCTGGCACAGGTTTGTGAACACTTTGTTTCACTCTAGCTATACACTTTCTTTTTTTTTCCTGTATTTAATAACTTTAACTTATGGTGTTTTTTTATTTATTTATTTTTATTTAATTTTATATAACAAAGTCCAATTAAATGAAAACAAACATTTATACACAACATTTGGGAATTTGGGCGTCGTTCTTTCCAAACTACTTCCTGCTGGTAAGGGGCGCTGTCTTGGGGGATTCGAAGAAGATTCAGATATCCTGGCTGTAGTCTGTAGGGCTGTTTTGTCCAGCTGTTTGGAATGTAGGATCAGCTTGTACTCTGTTTCAGGCAGTCTGGCGTGATCAAACCACATTAGTCTGGAAGGAATCCACATCTTTTCATTTTCTGTGGAAACAAAAATAGAAATACTTTTCCCCAGTAACTTGTTCTTCAACTTATATTTTGGAGTCAAAGCGTTTTTTTTTTTTAATTTATTATTTTACATGTCGATCCCAGTTCCCTCTCCCTCCCTCCCTCCCTCCCTCCCCTTCAGCCCTCCCTCCCTCCCTCCCTCCCTTTTGCCCTCTCTACCCTCTCCCATGCACTCTAAACACCCTCCCCTCCCAACCCCCCACCACAATACCATATGTAGGGGAATGCCATCCAGTTGGGGTCATGTAGATCTGACAGGTCCTGTGAAGTAGGGACTAGGGCTTCTCTCCTATCTCTAGAATAAGGCAGTTATCCCTCCATGGGGGATATATTTGCAAAGTCCTTTCGTGCACCAGGGATACATCCTGGCTCCACTGTCTGAGGTCTCTTAGACTGCTCAGACGTTCTGGCTGAGACCCATATTCAGGGGGGTCTGAGTCAGTCCCCTGTTGGCTTCCCAGCTATCAGTCTAGTGGCCCTTAGCTCCTCCTTGTTCAGGTAAGCTATCTCTATATACTTCTACCGCATGGTCTTGTCCTCTCCATCTGCTTCTGGGTTCTAGTTCGACTCAGTGTTTATGTATGCTCCTGTTTTCAAGAAATCATCCTTATGAGGTAACCCAGTCACAAAAAGAGAAACACAGTATGTATTCACTCATTTATGGATTTTAGAAATAGATCAAATGATCACCAGCCTATAATTCACATCACCAGAGGAACTAGGATACAAGTTGTATTCTAAGAGATTCATATAAAGTCCCTCACAGAACTGGGAAGGGACAAGTCCCCCAGACCTCACGTAAAGTGGGGGAGGACAGCTAATGGAGAGAGAAGTAGGAGAAAATGAGAGGGAGGAGAGGAAGGCATGTGCGACCAGGAGGATTGAGCCTGGTTAGGAATGGAAAATAGGAAAGAGAGAGAGAGAGAGAGAGAGAGAGAGAGAGAGAGAGAGAGAGAGAGAGAGAGAGAACATAAAAGAGGGAGCCAATATTGGTTTGAAGATAAAGTTGAACACAAAGAAAGGTCGAGGGAACTACAAGACTGCTCCCAACTAACAATCTCAGCTTCCGTGGAAAGGCTATCATAAATGCCCTTCCCGGAGAGTGAGATCAACAACTAACTTCTCCATGGAGTCCTCAACTAGCTATACACTTTCTACAATAAGGCCACAACACACCTTTCTGCACAAAGCCAGACCTCCTAATCCTCAAAAAGTTTCACCATCTAAAAGCAAAACATTCATGTGTATGAACCTATGGGTGCCATCAGGAGTCAAACCTCCACAGGTTTTAATTCCTTTCCATTGCTTTATATGCATATCCGCAGCCACCATCACATTATTTTGATTATCTGAGCTTTTTTTGGAACTATTAAAATTTACACATTTAAATTATTTCTTTTAGATATTGTTTAGATATTTAGGATCACTGTAATTCTGTTATGAGCTTAAAGATGAGGTATTCATTATCCTCTCAACTATATTAGAATTTTGACTAAATAGTCTTGAAAAAAGTTAAATTCTCCAAATGCATAAAAACAAAGTACTTTGGTATTCATTTAGATTTTATCCTAAATATTTTTCAGAATTTTTGAAAAATAATTTTTACTATACAAATCTTACCTGCCTTGTACAAATTCTTGAATTATTTTGGGTGGCATTTAAGTGTGATTATACTATTTACTACCAATATGTAAAATAATAATGAATATTTTTATAATAGAGAGAAAAGAATAAAAGAATAAAAATATTCTGTTGCCTGAATAATACAAGTTTTTAAAATTTATAATTTATTTATAATATCTTTAGTATTAGAGGAATTACATCTCCATTTTATTAGAGTGACAGAAATTACTTAAATGTTATATTTTGTTAACATTTATTTGTTGTTGTTGAGCATATGTAAGTGAATTTATATAAAGTAAATAAGTGAAATATGCAAATATTCTTATCCTTACTTTGTATTCTTCACCTAAATTCAGCACATCTTTTATTTAATGTCAAAATTACATATAATATAATTTAGGTAGTAAGACATGATAGAGAATGATATATTAATGAACAATAGAAGAAACAGGAAAGAACTGATGCAAGATTGAAGAGACAAAATAATAGATAGTTCACTCAATAAAGATAGAGAGGCTTGGAGATTAAAATGGATAGTTGAATAGTTGATGTGTCAAGTGGAGTACATGAGAAACAGCCTGGTAGATAATGAATACAATGGTGAGATAGAACCTTATAGACAGATGGCATAAAATAGAGAAAGGTGCATGGAGATATAAATACATGACCATATGTATTCATCCATTAATCTAGTGACTATATTTGTTTCTTCAAGTGTGAGTCATTAACTGTACAAAGTATCAAAAACTTTGCTAAATGAGACTTAGGTTCAATTTTCTCATACATTTCAGGGTTTGCCCATTACTTTGGAGGAGTACAATATTTTAACTAAGGAACTGGAAAGGAAGGATGATGCTGTTTAATAATGATTATCATCAATATTTTAAAATAAAGACATGTGTTAATAAAAGAGTATATAATATGATGCTATATAGAAAATGGTAGAGATAAAGAATTGACGTTTGCTATATACTGAACATTTGTGGCAGCTTTTTAAATAAAAGGCAAAATAATAGGTGTGGTTAAAGGATAGAAATGTAAGTTTAAATGTAGGTAATTAATGTTAAATAGGCAAATACAAATGAAGAACTGCAGAGGTAAGTAGATTCATGCTCATATGTTAATATTCAAAGATAATTATGTGGAGAATTTGGCAGATAATTTATCCTAAAGAATTTTTTCAAAAAAAGACATAATAATTTTTTTTTGCATTCAGTCAAATAACTTTATTGGAAACAATGGAAAAGGGGAAAGAAAATGAGCAAACTTTCTGGAAGGGCAGTATGGGTGTCCAGTCTGCTAGCCTGGAAAAGAACAGTTTAGGGTCATGAAGAAAGTTCCAGTTCAATTCTCTTTATTGTCATCCAGGGAAAGTTTCCCAAATAGATATTCAGCCATGCCTTGATCTGGAGACCCCATCTGCTGCATGTTGGTCACGTAGCCGCTCATCTCCTCGAGGACCTCAACTTGCTTGTTCAGAAAATGGGTCTTCAGAAAGCTGCATAGATGGGCATCATTCTTGCTAGCAGCTAGCTGGTGCAGGGCCACAAGGCTTTGGTTGGCTGCCAGCTCCAGTTGAAGGGCATACTCCATGGCTTGAAGGCCGCCGAGCCAATCATCACGGTCTGGCTTGCTGATGGTGCGCAAAGAGATGCGGCCACCACGCTGGTTTTGCATTGCCAGGAACATCTCGGCTTGAGCAGTACACTCATGCGACTTTTTCAGGAAGAAGCTTGCCAAGTTCTCCTGAGCCACATCTTCACGATCAAAGTAGAAGGCCATGGACAGGTAGACATAGGAGTTGTAGAGCTGCAGGTTGACATGGCTGTTAACAGCGGCCTTGCAGTCGAAGTGGTAGTTCTGTCGCACTTGAGATGGTGGAGAGACCATGGGTGGTGTCATAAACACCAATGGATAGGCAACAATAGATCTTGAGAAGCGCAGTGGGCAGCGATGGCGATGGCGCCGATGAGACTTGCGCAGAAAACCCATGGTGGACAATAGATCAACCCGCAAGCTTGGGCTGAACAAGTGGCAGAATCATGGAAAGTGTATACTGGAGGCTCAGAATCACCGTTACAAGCCGTTAGAACGTGAGTTCTAAGTTCCGTAGCAACGCACGTGACTGCATTGATCACCTCACTACAGTATTTTGAAAAGTTACTAATAAAGTACAAACATTTTAATAAATCACTCAATTTCTTAAAACAAGCTATGTGAATATTGTTTAAATATGAATGTTTCATTAATGCAGTGCCTTTCATGATTCCAGAAGTTAGTTATGTTTAATAGCATAACGTGCTATTTTCTCAGTGACTTCAGTGTGCATACAAATGACAACCTTCAGTGAGGATCCTTTCTACTGAGGTAGTTTTCACTGTCTAAATTAATCAATCTAAAAATTCCCAGTATTTTCTGCTTTGCTGCCTGTACCTTCTCAAGTTTGTATGTGTAGTAGGTATGCTTTGTGTGACTAGTCTAAACCTTGTCTCAAGTGTCCTTTAAAAATTCTCCTTAAATACAGATAATTATTTCTTGCAGAGTTTTCATACAATTCAAATGTCAGCATGACTCCTTCATTCGAGTAACAATTAGACTATTATATGTTATAATCAGGTTGAAAAGAATATAAAAATATAATGGTAGTTATAAGCAAAATCAGTGATATAAGTAGTGAATACTTAGAAACATGTTTTAATTTTGAAATTTTTTGTGTAATGATAGTGTTTTCAGGCATCTCTACTGAAGTGTCTTAGGTGTTCTAATAGGATGTTCCCTCAGCTGCAGCCACTAAGATCAACACCTGTGCACATTCACTACCTTCCCTTAAAAGGACCCTTCCCAGGAGATCTTGCCCAGAGGACCATGTATGTCTCTCTTAGTGTCCTCCTTGTTTCCTAGCTTCTATGGAGGTGTGACTTGTAGCCTGGTACTCTTGTGTTCTATGTCTAATATCCATATATGAATGAATACATATCATTCTTGTCTTTCTGTGACTGGGTTACCTCACTCAGGATGGTTTCTTCTAGTTCCATGCATTTGCCTTTGAATTTCAAGATTTCACTGTTTTTTGTTTTGTTTTTGTTTTTTTTTTTTTCCCCGCTGAGTAAAATGTACCACATTTTTTCCATCCATTCATCAGTTGAGGGGCATCTAGGTTGCTTCCAGGTTCTGGTTATTACAAATAATGGTACTATGAATAGAGTTGAACAGAAGTCATTGTGTATAAATGTTCATCCTTTGAGTATATTCCTAAGAGTGGTATTGTTGGATCTTGAGGTAGACTAATTCCCATTTTCCTAAGGAACCACAATACTGATTTCCAAAATGACTGTACAAGTTTGCACTTCCACTAGCAGCAGAGGAGTGTTCCTGTTTCTTCACATCCTCTCCAGCATAAACTGTCTTTAGTGTTTTTGATTTTAGCCATTCTGATAGGTCATTACTACATTAACAAAATGATATGGTATCACCTATAGCCTAAAGTTCTGCTTACTTTGAGTTCTCACATACATTTCAAGACATATTAGGAACTGAGGAAATGATAGACTTCTGTTCAAGACTTCTGTTTATCTTTTCCAATCTTTCCATGACATGTAATTTTTAAAATATTTTCATCATTCTGCTATTTCAAGTCTTTCCCTATCATTTGAATTTCACAGAAAGAAAATCTCTCATGTTTAATTTCATGCATAATTATATTATGCAACAATCAAGTGAATAAAAATATTGCAATAATAAAATTGACTTGGATATATTTAAAGACACATATAATGGTTGTGTATGCAACTCAATGGGTGGATGCAAATGTGTACAACAGGGGCTATTACCTGTGAGTTTTTATTGTCTCTCAGAGCATTATTTATTTAGATTTTTACCAAATGAACCAAGACCATTGTTAACCTATTAAGATATTAGGTAGAGACGCATAGTCCCAAACCGCAACTCTGGGCAATGGTGAGGAATTGACAGCATTAATATCAAAATTTAGAAAAAGTTTCTTTACATAGCCGAGATGAAGTTGAGTCCTTGCTCCCTGTTTGATTCTAGAGCAATCAGGTCAGCCTGTCATTTTCCCTTTCAGACCTCAAAAATTCACCATGTAGGCAGTGAAACTCTCTGTTTTGGTAGTGAAGCTCTTAGCCATATTGTCGTAAATAAATTCAATGCTGCCCTTTCATTTTGTGTATTGGATTTTTGAGTTATTACACAAAAGATATTTTCATTATTATGAATAGAATGATTATTAAAGCCTTGAACATCTATTTAAATTTTCTAGTGTTTCTGAAATTATATTTTGAGTCTAGAACTCTGAGAAGTGCCACCCCTACAATAGTAAGGAACTATTGGCAAATTATAGCTTATAATTATAAAGGTAGTCAGTTTTCTCTAAGTGTCTGGTCTCTAGTAGGAAGGCACACACACACTCACACAAGAATATATTGATAGAACAAATTGTACATAATGAGATTTTTGTTAAAAATGGGACACAGCATAGGGTATGTACAGATGGGCATTGTGGTGTATCTTGGAGAAATCTGAGGAGGGGTGAATATAAGTAAAATGAGTTGTGCAAAATTCTCAAAGAACTAATTAAAGATGAGAACCATAAAAATAATATAAAAGAAATAAGGTTTTTCCCACAGCTGACAGTTTGGGATAACAACAGACTAATGAACTAAGAGTAAAATATTTAGAGTTTAATTCAACCTATAACAATCTATACTTTCAAGTTCAGTGAATGTTTGGAATTTCATTTATTCATCAAAGACAGAATACCATATAAATATTAGAAATGTATTCGGAAGTAAGAAATAATGAACATATTAGAAGCTGAAAAACACTATTTCTTATTTCATATTTTCTATTAATCAGAAATCCAGAAGTGCATTTCTGATTAATAGAAAATATGAAATAACACTTTCTTGATCAGAGTCTCTTAAGTAGGAGGTGTCAAGTCAAGCTGTTGGCCTTTACTTTGCTTATCTGAAGACTTTAATATGCCTGAAATATCCATTTATAAGTCAATGTAAGTAACCTTTGTTTCTCACTAAATTCTTGATGGGGAGGGTAGGGAAGAATCAGTAAGAAGTAGGAAATGATAAAAGGAATAGAAACAGGTTTTGAGCTACTATGAGGACAGAAGTGTAAGAATATGGGAAAGAGGGAGAAAGGGCATTTGAGTGAATAGCTAGAGAAAGAAAAAGGTCTAAGTCTATTTGCAAACACTAAAACCACACTACACCTTTCTCCAAAATTCTCTTTACTAGAAAGCAATCATTAAATTCAGTCTTTAGAGTTTTTACATAAAGTGAATTCACCTTTTCCTCTCTAAGGATTTATATTAAATAATTCATACACATAACTCAAAACCATTTGATATGTTATACCAATGTTAATATCCCTCATTTTCTAATATGACTTTCATCTAGTACATCTGTAAAAAATAGCTGTGCCATCAATGTCACAACTATATGAATAGAAAAAAGTTATTCAAAATTAAATTATGTTATTTTCTTGTACCTCTTTTCCCTTCTGAGACTTCTGGATTGCTGTCATCTCCCTGATAATTCATTTATTTCTAGAGACATTGGAGAGAGGTAATTTTAAAGTAACATGAAATTTTTGACTCATAATTATCTCACAGTCTGTTTGGCTACAGAGAATGATTAAGACTCCTATTGCAGTTTACAAATCTAGATTTGGGTATTGAAGCTCTCCTTACTGAAAATTCCCATTGAAGATCCCTCAACACATTCCTCTTATATCTCCATATTTGCCATCTTAGCAAAACTTTAACTTGTTTATCTCTGTTTTCTCTAATTTTATTTTTTTTTAACTTTTACAGCTTTATTTTATGTGAATGGGTGTTTTTATCTTCTTTATGTACAACATGCCTGCAGTTCTCATGGAAGTGAGAATAGGGTGTTAAATACTATGGAACTGGAGTAATAAAAAACAACATGGACGAACACATTGATCAACTGAATAGAATTGAGGGCCCAGATATAAGCCCATGATATCACCCCTACAGATTTTTTCTAAGTATGACAAAAATGTACAGTAGGAAAATTGTACCATCTTTATGAAATGGAACTGCGAAAACTGGATTTAAACCTGCAGAAAAGTGAAATTAGACCCTTGTTTTCTAAGCAGATACAAAAATTAACTTCAGATGGATTAAACATAACCGAACAAAAAATGATACTCAGAAATATTTTAGATATTTCATGTGTAAATTTATTTTAATAAATTGTATTCCTATTACTCTTCCTCACTTTCCTCCCTTCTTTCTGAAGCACAAACACCACAAGCAATTTTGTAAAAATCTCTCACTTATAGCCTCTTCCTTGTCCATGTTTGTAGTTTCATTGCAATACTCTAAATCTCACATAGACTCGGGTTTTTCATGTGTTTTCATTCAGTAATCATAAGATCATATCTATTTACTTTTGATTCCATGTGCTGTGAATTTTGGATCTGATTTCCAGCAGCATACTTTCCTCTGGAGCTTTTCCTTAATGTACAACTCATAGTTCCTGGTATCAGAAACTCTAAGATACTTCATCTGAAAAAGGTTTTAGTGCCATGGGTATTGATTTATTTATAATTGTCTTTCTTTTGGATCCTAGGCAATTAATATTGAATTAAATTGCTATGTTCTCTTTTATGATATTTTATCTATAACTATTATATGCCTAGACTGTAAGAGCCTAATTAAGTACATTTTTCTATGACATGGATCATGCCTTTGTAATTATTTCAATTACTAAGTTTTATAGTGGATTTTGTTAGTTTGATTTCTCTGGCTTTCCTTCACATACAAGTAAAATAATGGTCATTCTGTAAATATGTTTCTCTTATTGGTTAATTAATAAAGCACTGTAGACCAATAGGAAAGCAAGATAGGCATTACTAGGAGACAAGGAGGAGAAAGGAAGGAGTAGGGAGAAGATCCAAGATGGAAGATGGAGAGAGAAGAACACCAGCCCCCCTCTCCAGTAAGAGAAGACCACAAGGAAGTAC